CGTGTCCCCTCCGTCACTCCCTCGTCCCGTTCCCTTGGCCCCTGGGTGGTCCCCTTCTGCTCCCTTCTCCCTCTCGCCTGCGGCCCCTCCGGCTGCTGCCCGTCGCCTGCCTGGGCTCCCTCGGGCTCCCCTTTGTCCCCCTTCCGTTCCGGTCTCCCCTGTCTGCTCCTCCTCCCTTCGGCCCACCTGTGTCTGTTCCTCCTCCCTCTGTTCCTCCTCTGTTCACTCCTGGCCCCTTCGTGTCGCCTGTGGGTGTTCCCTCCGTGTCGCCCTTTTCTATCTGCCTGTCTGCGTTCCTGGTCCTTTGTCAGGTCTTGTCGTTCTTCTGGTCCCTGTTCCTGTTTTGTTCCTCTGTCCTGTTTCTGGTCCCTCGTTGATGTTTTTGGTTCTGTCTTCCAGGTCCTGTTCCCCGGTTTCGTCCCGTCCGTCGCCTCCTCTCGGGCGCGCCCGGTGTGCGCGCCTTTCGGGGGGGGGGTTCTGTTACGTCCCGCTCCGTCCGCTCCTGATGTGTGCCACGCCCCCCTCATTACCTGGTGTTCCTCCCTGATTGTTCTCTTTTGTATTTAGTCCTCGTCTGAGTCAGTCTTCCCCAGTCTCGTCATTTCCTCCGTCCTGTGACCTACCTACCTTATTTGCGGCTGCTATGGAGGGGAATCCCGGACATTTTTCAAAAGGAATTGCAAATTGCATTTGCAATTGCGTTTTCCATATGTGGACGCATAAAGTGTGACATAATTCAAATGCAATTGCAAATTTTGCATTACCGTTTGCTTTTTCGCTTTCGCGAACGAACACTGCCATTTCAAATGAAAAAGCAAAGTGAAATGCTGGCTCTGTCAGCATTTAGGAACTGGGCTTAGACTTTGCTGAAAGTTACTTTTAGCAGCTTTATACAATGCTCATAGGTCCTACATTTTGCTAAGATTTTTTTAACTCTTAAGTCAAAGTGTACGGCCATTTTTAAGACCATTCTTAGGAAGTTTTATGCATTCCGGCCCAGGTCTATCTCTTTGAAACAATTATTAAATAGTATGGTATACAATTGTCATTTATATTACCTCCATAGGTTGCAGCCTATTTAGCAGCATTTTAATTGTGTGCACGTTAAGTATATTATTTCATATCGTAATCAGGAAGCAATCCCACGGATACATTTTCTGTTGTGGCAGAGAGTGCATGTACTGCAGCCAGACGCTTTTGGACAAAGCTAGGCGGCATCTATGTGTATTTTATCTGTGGTCACTGAGCATAACGCACCAGAAATATTTCTCTCGATACTCGGTCCTTTAGCGTGTGGTCTTCCGGCTTTCGTTCTATACCACTGGGTGGCGCATAAATAAATATGTTCCTATAGCTCATGCATTTTCAATTCCATTATTTATTAGTGTTCAAATAAATACGAGAGACTTTGAAAATTAAGCAAATGAGAGCTTAAAGTCACATTATTATGTGGGCTGAGCCGGAGAGGACACACTGAAATGGCAACTGAGCCGGTAGAGCACACGCAAAAGTGGCACCTACCTTTTTATTTTTCTATAGTAAAACTGCAGCTGCGCCAAGCTACAATACATTCTTGGAAACACTGTTATTATGACGTGTCAAGTACCAGAAATGCCCCTTCTGTTGGACCCGAAGCGGGGTGAAGTGATGTTCAGGACAGGCGCAGAACTGCAGTAGTTAAACTCGCCGTCCAGCACTGATATGGAGGACTTCCTCCTTTTACGGACCTGAGATCTCACCATGCTGCTCGTTTTAAATTCTGATTACAGTGACCGAACAAGATATATCCATGCTGTCTGTATGTAAAATCTCGCAGCGGTACGTTTCTGGTGGGATTGTATTAATGTATTTGCTTCGACTCATAACCAGTACAGTTTAATCGCCGATTACACTAGTAACTTAATTGTGTCACAAGTAGAACAAGTAAAGTAATTCTTTAGAGCTAACCTGCGTATACGTGGTATCCTGCATTATCAGCTATTTATACGAATAAACAAGCGTTTGGAAACTGGCGGCAGTTCCATTTAGAAAAAGCTCGGCTCGATTTGGCAGAGAGCCGGTCTTCCGGGCAATTCAGTTTCCCTATGTTTCCCCTGTCCCGCGCTGATTTGTACACGGTTTCGCTGTTGTTTTCATGTCTTTTTAAGAAGCTCTTGAGGTAAACAAGCCATATATTTCAAAACATCACATGCCTTTTCGATGTTTTTTGTTTTTACAGATAATAAATGAAAGTATTTAATTCGCTGGATAGAGATATTTCTTGATGAAAACGGTATAGTATTGCTTATATAAGACTATATTATGCGTGACGATCTACTGTATTCACATGTAATAATGTACCTGAGTGATTTTCAGACATCAAACATACATATTTGACTAAATATTAGGAGAAACATTATTCCCTGATAGACAGGGGAAACATAGGGAAACCGAATTGCCCGGAACACCGGAAATGACGTCTTCCACTTGGTTCGCGCATTATGCGGTGCTCGGCCTCGGCTCCAGCTCGCCACATAGTTCCCATTCCCGGCGCCGTGTCAGTGCTGAAAAGCGAGTCGGTGCCGTCCCCCAGGTAAGTGCCTAGAAACAAATGCACTTTAATAATTCATTTTATGCGTCAGTCGGTGTGGTTATTCAGGTCGCATAGCGGAAGCGGCATTCACAAGCCCACAAAAGAGCCGGAAAACGGGCGGGTTGAGTCGGGACGAAGGTGTGGAGCTGGGCTGCCCATAGCGGACCCAGATACCCCAACGACGGCCCTGATGGAGCCCGGGACCCGACGCTATCCGCTTCTTTTCCGCCGACTTGTGTGAGGTCGGTGTCTGGAAGACGCGCTTCTGAGCTGCGTGGCCGAGTTTGCTGGACCGGAGTTGGAGCGGCTTTAAAAGCCCTGGGCAGCTGCTGGTAAACGTGTCTTTGTTAAAGGGATGTGTGCATCCTGTGATGGGGATTTACATGTTCGTCGCCAGGCCTCACGGCTTTTTATGTTTTAGTGGAAACGGAGAGCAGCTATCCATTTGGCTTTATTATCTATCGGTGTGCATCTTGAACTTAACGGAAACGGAACTCTGGTTTACGCATGTATTTTATTATTATTATTATTATTATTTATTTAAAGTTTCACAGTTAGTCCTTCCGCTCGGCTCGCTGGGTGAGAGCCCAGATAACTTGAAACGGGGTAAAATGGATCTCTTAAGGTGATGATTCAGAGGGCAACTTTGAGCAATATTGCCGGGAAATAGCCAACCAGGTAAGACAAAGGGCAACATATCTTAATCTGGATGGTCTCGAAAAGTTGCCCACTGCCAATCAAAGTTTTTCAAGTACTGTATAAATTCCTTGTTGTGTTAATGTGTCCCCGTCCCCGAGCTGGTGATGTTGAGCATCTTTTTCATGAGTAGTACCACCAGATGCGCCTGCCTTCTGTGCTGCCTGCTGTGCACTGTCTCACTGGGCTGGCAGACCGCTTCTATCATTGTCACCCCAGGTGTTTTCTTTGTTGATATCTTGAATTTTCAAATGGGGGTTTGAGAGTTCACTTCTTTGGTTTGGCCTATTTTGGGATTTCCAACAGTTCTGAGATTGTGTTCAATGTCCTTGATTCTGTTCTATTTGGTCTGAACATCTTGGTCTTGTTCTAAAGCTGTTTTATTTGTGTCACAAGTAGGGCTGGGTACCAAGCTTCGGTACTTTTGTGGTACCGTCCGAAATGCTGCAATCCTGTTGAGGTTTCACGAACACATCATATAGGCCGGAGGAAAAACATATGCCCAGAGACAAACTTGTGAACTGGGTTGCATGTATGTTGTTTTTGTTTGTCACGCAGTGCAAAAAATGCCTAAGAAATCAACAGTGTAGCTCTTCAGGGTTCCAGGCTATAACCGTTTAGTTGCATTTTGCAACCATTTTTGGAGACAGTGTGCCTAAATTTTATAAGTAGGAGCAATGGTGTGACTTGCATATGTGCCCCTCATTTATGCCCAAATATGCCCATATAGCGGCTGACCACATCATTGTATATCACGTGAAACACCTGGAGAGAGTGAGAATTGGTGTGATGTGTATACACGTGTGTGTGAGCGAGATCATTGGAACTTGGTCTGATTGCTGGTCCTCAGAGACACTTCTGTGGAGGTGCTGATAGTTATCACTTGGTGATTGCTTGGCCACAAGCACGGGTACTAACATGGAAGTTTCACGGAAGTGTAGAAAATAAGACAGAGTAAATGGTATTATTTTTGTGCCTCAATAAAACTGAATACCTTTTGCATTCATCTCCAGCAAATGCTGGCGGTGAAACGTGTCGGTGCTTATTAGTGGGATAACAAAACATAATTTTTTTATTCTGTGGAAAATGAGAGATCGATCTGCTGGCCAGATTTATAAATTATAAATATGTCGGGGTCATTTAAGTAAAAACAGGGCTCTCAAATCTCAAGCACTGACTGTGAGACATACTCATTCCAACCATTTCACACGCTCACAGAAGTAAGGGATAACACCAAGGTGTCCCATTATATAGAATTAATGGGCGTGGCACCAACATACGCAGTGGTTTTCTCCACTGATAGCCAATTAGAAAATGGCATTTGTTGCATGTCATCCTGCTGTAAGCACGTTATTATATGGATAGGCGCATATATGGAGTGCAGACAAGGTGGAAGTGGCCGAGCAAGATCTGATGAATGCAGGGCTCTAAAGTGTCACACATTGACCGTGAGACATGCTGCGTCCCTAACACGTGATCTTACTCCAAGCTTCTCATAAAACATGACAGCCCTGGTAAAGTATAAATAAAAGGCTGTGTCCTGTTATGATCACAGTAACTAACCAATAACTAACAAACCGACTAAATGAAATAAAAGATTAGTGCTGAAATGTTTAATGTATTCTTGTTGTTGTTGAAATTGATTTACAAACATAGTGGTATTGAAAAAGTATTGAACCGGTATTGAAATCAAGGTATCCTTCTGGTACTGGTATCGGAAAATTTTGAACAATGCTCAGCCCTAGTCATGAGCTTCTGTGGTGTCTGTGAGCTCTCGGGCTCTGCAGATTGTGTAAGAAAAATCCATGATTATGCAAATCCAATATAAAATCAACCAGTAGTTAATAATGGAACTTAAGATTCTAACGGGTCTGGATGCTGTTCAGCCAAATGGCTATTTAAATATTAGTTTAAATACTAGAACTCGTGGCCATAAGTGGAAATTAGCGGGAGAACATTTTAAAACAAATTTGAGGAAGCACTTCTTTACACAGCATGTAGTTAGAGTATGGAGTCGTCTTCCTGCTAGTGTAGCGGAAGCTAAAACCCTGGGTTCCTTTAAGTCAGAGCTAGATAAGATTTTAACAACCCTGAGCTATTAGTTAAGTTCTCCCCAAACGAGCTTTTGTAAATGTCTTATGTTCTTATGATAACACTGTTGATTAAAATATGATGATTGTAATGTTTAATTTCTGCCTTGGAACATTTAATATACTAAACATATAATGCAAGCTTGCTTAAGTAATAGGTTTTCATTATTACAGGTAAGAGGAACTAACATATTTTGGTATGGTAGCTTGTTTTGCAAAAAGGTCAAGGTACAGATCTAATCCGAGAAGCAAGTCTGCTGCAGAAAACATTTATAAGAATTGTGTGTATTTTAGGGGTCAAGGTTACATGAAAATAGAACTAAGGAACGTAAGGGGAATTCAGCTGAACTTGTTTTGAACAGGGTGATGTAATCACTAGAATGATCATGAAATGGTCAACCCTGCCTTTACCTGATAATGGGTCCAGTTTAACAGAAGTAACTGGTGTCTATAGATATCTGACCCCTCCTTGAACTGTCTGTAAACTGTTGCGTTTCTGGCTATAAAAGATGTATGCACTTGTTGTTCGGGGAACAGAGCACGAGACACAGAGAAAGACTGCTGAGTGTCTGTTCCCCCAAAGCTTTGCGGAAATAATGTTTTGTCAGACTCTTAAACAAATCGACTTCAGCGAAATTTCTACCACAAGATCAAATCCACACCTGGCTCGGTATGTGATATGAAAACAGGTGATCTCTTACAAGTGTCCCTTTTTATACAAATACATTTTTTAAAGACCCTTAAAGAACATGCAGTTAGTCTCATGCTGGTTTTATGTACCTGAGCTCCTGGATAAGGGCATTGGTGATGTTCTGAATCTCTTCTCATTTCAGGAAGCCTGTTCAGAATGAGCAGTTCCTGGACCATCTCTGCATCCTCTATCCAGTGTTGATGTTGCTTTCCTCGGCTTACGAGGATGGCGACCTCCATCCCCTGAGAGCCATCCGTGATGCCCAGACGGGGGCCACTCCTGCAGGCCCGGGCCCGCTGGCTGCTACTGGGTCTCCTGCTAGTGCTGCTCCTCACACTCTTCCTCTACCTGCTAGAATGCAGTCCCGCCGGTGACGCCGGTGCCGCCCTGCCCGGCTTTGCAGGCGATCCATATAGCCGTGAGCACTTCCAGACGCTGCTGCAGGAGCAAGAGGAGCGACACCTCAGCCGCGTGTCCAGTCTGAAGCGTCAGATTGCCCAGCTGAAGCAGGAGCTTCAGGAGATGGGTGACAAGCTGAAGACCCTGCAGGAGAAGAAGGATCCTGGAGGCCGGGCCCATGTGGAGACACACGACCAGGAGCCCAGCGACCTGCTGGAATTCCTCCATGGGCAGATTGAGAAGGCAGAGGTGAGCACTGGAGCCCGCCTCCCCAGTGAGTATGCCTTGGTGGCCTTTGAGAGCTTTACCACCACCAAGGTCTACCAGCTGGAGATGGGTCTGACTCGACACCCCGAGGAGAAACCCGTCCGTAAGGATCGCAGGGACGAGCTTGCGGAGGTCATTGAAGCTGGCCTGGATGTCATCAACAACCCGGAGGAGGATGACGGTCCAGAGGACGAAGATGTGCCCGTGCAAAGGCAAATGTACAGTGAGAGTGATTTTGTGGAAGGTACGACTTCCCATCCTTTTAGTGGAAACTTCCAGGTTTTGGTGCAATCTCACTGTCTCTGGCAGATTATGCAGAGGCCCAAGAAACAAGGATATGAAGCTGAGTTAGTTTTATATTAGATCTCTTTGCACAGAGAAAGCTGCAGGTTCAGCAGGGCTATGAGGGTAAACACATGAAATGAAGAACTTGATGTGTCCCCAAGATTCAGTGAGAGCTTGGTATTGGTCCGGTTTTTGAGCTAGTCACCACAGGTTCTCTCATTTTCTGTTTGTTCATAGGCTGAGGATGTCACCTTTTATTCCTAAGGCTGAATTTTTCTGTGTTGCACTGCAGTGCTTCAGAATGGACTGTATGTGTGGTATGGGGGTGGTCATCTGTGGTTTAAATTAGGTGAAAATTCTGCCCTTGGTACCTACATGAATCAGGTCATTGGTGTCACCTGGTTCAAACCCTCACTCACTAACATTTAGATCAGATGTGTGATTTGTATTTGAGTTGCATTGTTTCAGCATTAGACCTTAAGAGTAAAGGCATCATTGACACGTTGATGTTATCCTTGAGTCCCATGTTCCTTTATTTGAAGATGCATTTGCTCCTGGAGTAAGCGTGTCTGGAGTGTGGAAGATGAGGTAGTGTCTGGTTTTTTTTTGGTTCCCAGAGTCTCAGACTGAATGAATGCCTTGTTTGATGATGGGTATCACTGACTATACTAGCAGGCCTCTATGTGGCTTCCTGTGAGATGCAGCTGAGACATTCCTGGGGGAAAGAAATTGTATTTGGTTTATATGAAAAAAGCCTTGTTTAATTTTGTCCCTTGCTGGCAAGAATCTGCAGGACCTCTCTTGTTCATTTTCTCTCTCTCCTCTTTTGTGTCAAAGACGTGTAATATTAGCACGTCTGGATGAGACATTTTGTATTAACTGGTTGGTGGCTCTGCTGAAATTCCACCGCAGGGCACCAGGGTAACATCCCTACAAATCTGGCTAGTTGCTCAGGCACAAAAACCTTGTTTTTAAAAATACTGTTAAGTGAGTGAAACACAGAATCTCTGCAAATTTTTTTATAAATCTTAAGATGAATTGTCTAAAGAGAACTTATAATAGAGTATCACATATGCATTCCATTTGGGGCCAGATACAATTACTTTGTATGGCCTTAAGATAAATTTGAGTCTTATGAGTTTTGGCGGAGTTAATGTTGACTGAGATGTAAATACTTGGCGAAAGGGAAAATGAAGGCCTTACCTCTGGTAAACTCTTGGGTCTTTACAAAGTCAGAATCACCCCTTTTTTATAACCATATGCTGATTTTCTCTGTGCTTGTGTGCACTTTAGGTTTTTCCATAACTCCCCCTGTAATTCCTTATAGACATGTATTTCTTAGATTTCACACTGTACTAGTTCTTTGAGAGCATGTGGCATTTTTTTGTTGAATTTCAAAACGCTGAGTGTTCTCGAACCCGGCTCTGTTTCCAGGTCTGTACAGGACTGAGAGAGACAAAGGGTCTCTGTATGAGCTCTTCTACAGCAAGGAGGGCACCAGCAGCTTCCACCACGTAACCTTGTTTCGGCCGTTTGGGCCACTGATGAAGGTGCGCAGCACGGCTGTGGACCTCACCAATACTGCCATCAACATCATTGTGCCACTCTCAGGCCGCACTGAGGCCTTCTCGCAGTTTCTTCACAACTTCAGGTAAGGTGCTGAAGTAGCATGCTGGCATGGGTGCCTCACCTCTGCCTTTCCTGTCACTTTTTTTTTTTAACTAAACAATTCACAAAATTCAGGTTTAATTGCAGTTAGGGCTGGACAATAAAACGATGGCGATAATTATCGCAATATAATTTTTCTCAATATCAATGTGGCAAATGCTCAGTGATAGTTCTGCATGAAATTATGTTTCTCTGCGACTGCTTGTCTGGACCGGCAATGGAGTAAAAGTGCAGACAGTTAAACCAGAAATGGGGGATTTGACAAATAAGAGAATGCAATAGGACAGGCAGGGAGACAAAAGACAACACAGTCAAAATACAACTCACCAGGAGAGCTGGTAAGTCGAAAGCAACCCGTCCAATATGTCCAATGTTTAATCCAGCGAAACCAAAATGAAAGTCCACAGTAAAATTCAGTCCATGAGAAATCCACACAGTAATATTCCACAGAGAATTCAGAACGATTAGAAAGGATGTGAGCAGCAGAGTTTCGTCAGTGCTAAAACTAAACCTGTGGTCTGTACTACGAATTGGGGTTACTGGCTTATCGGGGTAACGATGGATTTACGGTACCACAGTTTAAATGGACTTCATATTCGTTCACTTACATTTTGCCCAGACTACCTTAAATTCGAGAAGCTACCGCGATAAGCCAGTAACCCCGTTTCGTAGTACAGGCCCCTGGCCTGCCACACACATTGTTTTGAAAATGGGCAACCTATGCACAACAAATGCACAGCAAGGTTTGTTGAGTTAGTGGTGCACCCCACATACTACTGCTTCGGTAATACATTTAAGTCCTGGAAGAGAGAAGCCCTCACATATAGGAATCTTCAGTGCTGGTATCAGCAGCCACACCTTCTTTTTAAAAAGGAGTTGTTGTGGATAAACCATATAAAAAGACAGTGGTGTGTAGCCGTACTTTGGCAGTTTTTAAAGAAGTCTGACATGCAACAGACTGGTGCTGTGTGTTGTAATTTCTGTCAAAAACTCACGCCAACTAAAATTCAAAATACTACAAATTTCATCACGCTAAGCATTGCCATCCAGGAGAAAATACAGAATGCAAGTACAGTAAAACCTCGGATTGTGAGCATAATTTGTTCAAGAAACGTGCTTGTAATCCAAAGCACTCTTATATCAAACCGAATTTTCCCATTAGAAATAATGGAAACTCAGATGATTCGTTCTACAATCCAAAAATATTCATATAAAAATGATTAATACGAAATATAAAGTAAAAATACATAAAACAAATTAACCTGCACTTTACCTTTGAAACAAATCATGGATAGTGTGAGGGAGAGGGGAAGAGGAGGGTTTTTGTAGGACGACTTTCACTATAACTAACGGAATCACTGCTATCTGTTGGCTCACTGGAATCTTTTTCTTTTTGTGCGACTTTAACAAGGAAACCTATACAATGACAGCTGCTTTTTTTCGATTTTGCGGAAATGTGGACATTGCATTGTCGTAAAACAGATTCATTGCTCGCACTGCTACACCCTTATTCAGGTGGTGCTTTTCTACTAAATTTTGACTATATGAGTGAGGCACACCAACTGAGACCGAGCATGGGAAATGATTACCCACAATCCCGCAGCGAGAGAGAGAGAAGAATCATTGGCTCAGTTGTGACTACGTGACACTTGGCAAAGCGTATACGTAATACTCGTATTGCAAGAACTCACTCGTTTATCAAGTTAAAATTTATTCTAAAATTTTGCTTGTCTTGCAAATCACTCGCAAGCCAAGTTACTTGCAATCCGAGGTTTTACTGTACTTGAGTCACAGACACCAGCATTAGTGTTGCAGCTTTCATTCGCATTCTGCATTGGTTCAAAACGGAATTTTATTTTATGAGCCAGGTGAGAGTCAGAAAAAAATCCAGTAATAAACCATGCTGTTGCTATATTACTAGTGTTGCACCCTACGACTAAAATTATTTAGTGGTACATTTGAACACGATTTGTTTGAGAATGCTGGTCGAGTTGTGATTTGGTCGAGGTCTAAGTTGAATTTCTCCATAAGGAATAATGTAAATTAATTTAATCCATTCCAGACCCCCAAATGATTGCCTATTTCAACTAATCTACCTACCTAACTAATGATAAAAAGCATTAACAATCAATATAAAACTAATGCACACAAAAAGCACACATACAAAAGCAATTAACATGAAATAAATTACAATCCCATTCTCTGAAGAGAGAGTAGATGCACATGCACTCAGAGTGCATCAGAGACGTGCAAGTTTTAGCAAGTCTGCTTTGTTTTGTCTTGTTCCGAGTTTTCAGTTGAGTTGCCTCTAAATTCATCTCGATCGACCCCATTCAAAGTCCAAATTGGTAGAGTTGAGTTCCAACATTTCAGTTGAGGTACAAGTCGAAAAAAAATCAGCAGACCCAGTTGGTTGAGTTAAGAGGTATAAGAACACAAGAAATTTACAAATGAGAGTAGGCCATTTGGTCCATCAAGCTCGTTTGGGGAGAACTCAACTAATAGCTCAGTTGTTAAAATCTTATCTAGCTCTTATTTAAAGGAACCCAGGGTTTTTAACTTGCACTACACTAAAAGGAAGACAGAAGAAATGCTTTCTCAAATCCAATTTAAAATGTTCTCCCACTAATGGCTAGATTAGATTCTGGAAATCTAAGTAGATCACATTTTAGGCCTTTTTGTGATAAATTTCTCTTGTAGCTTCCTCAAAGAACTCAAGTAGATTAGTTAAATAAGATCTACCTCCCCTAAATCCATGTTGGCTCTCCCTCAGAATGTTATTTGAATCCAGGTCATCTACCATTTTCACTTGGATTATAGTTGCCATTACTTTTCCACTTATGCAAATTAAACTGATTGGCTGATAGTTTGCTGGATTACTTCTATCCCCTTTTTTGAAAATGGGCGTTATGTTGGCATGCTTCCAATCAGAAAGTACCACACCTTTGAGTTTGAGTTCCAAGGTTCTACTGTATATTATAGGGGTTGAACGGTACACAAAAATCACAGTTGGGTACTTACCTTGGTTTTGAAGTCATTGTTTGGTACGTTTTCGGTACAGGAAGTAAAGGAAACAGCATAAATTGTTTCTTTTTCTTTATTAAACAGTGGTTTACTGAACAAAGTAGTCTTTCAGTACTGCTGCAACCTACTAATAAAAAACTGAAATTTAACTAAGTACAGTGGTACCTCAGAACTTGAACTTAATCTGGGCAACTCCGGATCGAATCCTAAAAAGTTCGAGTTCTGATAGAATTTTCCCCATAAGAAATAATGGAAAACCAATTAATTGGTCCTGGTCCCAAAAAATTACACCTAAATGTTTTCTGTAGCATTTAAACACAAAATGAACCGGATAAAACAAGAGCATACACTGTATTAAACACATCTAAGCACATTTATCAAAACAGCAATTTGTAAAGTAAATGTATCCAAACAATGTGTCCTGCTCCGATCGTCCGCTCCTTCCGTGTGCCACGCCCCCTCGTTAACCCTGCGTGGAATTCCCGTGTGATCAGCCATTTCTGGGTTTTGTCATTAGCCCTCAGTATTTCGTCTGCGTTTCAGTTTGTTTCCCCAGTCCGGTCATTGTATTGTCCATCTGCGTTTTGCCTGCCTTACCTGTAATTAAACCCGGTATTCCCCGATACCCTGACGTCTGCGCCTTTGTCTCCTTTCTGTCCCCGCTTGGCACAACAATATTATTATAATTAAATGTATTAATGGTTTATTATTAATATTAAAATTATGAATAAGAAATCTTTATTTTTAAATGTATTTTATTATATAATAATAATTACTGTTACTGTCTATCATTGTCTAAATGTATTTTTACTGTCTAAATACATGTATTCAGCTTGTGTAAACATGCACGATCGTATCACAGCAAATTCGAGGCTGAGACTGAAGCGTTGCCCTTTGTTTCCTCTGAGATACGTGCGGTGTGACTTATTTCCCCACGCGTACAAGTTATTTTAGGTCAGCGTTCACGGTTTGACTTCTGAGATTCAGATCGAGTTCTAGGTAATTTAATTTCCTAACTGGTTGGTTCGACTTAAGAAATTACAATTCTAATGAGTTTGAGAACTGAGGTACCACTGTAAATCAAAATAAATATTCTGTCACGTAAATAAAAATGATATATACATTAATGTGCACATTAAGAAAATTAGCTGCACCTGATCTGTACTGTATTCGCATTAGCAGCTTTCAGCTTCATATTAGGACTGTGCAGTGTAAATATGGTCTTAAAAAATACAAAGCATAACAAAATAAATATCCATTATGGTGCAGAATTAAAAAAATACCAGTGCTGTAGTTGTATTCACATTAGAAATATCCAGCTTCACTTTAGAACAGGGGTGTCAAACTGCAGTCCTGGGGGGCCGGAGCCCTGTGTAGCTTAGTTCTTTCCCTGTTCCACCACAAATGATTCAGCTCAACAGCTATGTGGTAATTAGCACAAGAAGTTGAATCAGGTGTGTTAAACGAGGGGAAACCCAAAAATGTGCAGGGCTCCGGCCCTCCAGGACTGGAGTCTGACACCTGTGCTTTAGAACGTACACACGTATGCATAGTGGTGAGGCTTCATCCGTCCTTCATCCACCTCTGAATGTTGCTCAGGGAAACGTACAAACACACAAAGGTTCTGCTTTTGCTGTATTCGTTCGGTACATATGCGCAGCAAACCGAAAGTCCCGTACTGAAGATTGAAGATGCTCGATCAATGTCATCTTTTTCATGTTCTGTTTAAGGGGTATCCAAAGGGAATAAAGCATAAATGGAGCCTCAAAGTAAAGACACATTGAATTATTATTGGAAATAATGATTTATTAATTACAATATTCAGTGATATGAAACAATTGTGATAAAATATTTAACCAAATTGCCCATTAGGGGTGGGTGGTATACCGGTCATTGTCATTACCGGTGTCATTGTGCACCAGATATAGATTTGAGAGACCTACAGCCTAAATATAAACC